ATACTATCCAGTTTTTAAGGCATTCATAACTCTAGCTTTAGGTTGTTTTCTAGTACACCTATTGAAATATACCTTTTTGGAACATTACATGAAAATTCTGCAGTTAATAGAAGCATATAAATTGTTTAAAACTGTTGTTTTTAAATAAGTTTCAACAGTTTTCATGCATATTTTTGATAGATTTTTGTTATTTCCTTTATATTTTTGCATCATAATAATGACCTATTTTAAATATCTATAATCTAGCTTATATGTTTATGGAACATTAAAGCTAAGCTTAACGGAACAGCATTTAGCTTTATGGAAAATAAAGCTAAAAATGTAATTTCAAAGTGTACATTGTGTTTAAGTGTGTCTTCTGAATTTTAAAGTGTGTAATAAAAGTGTTTATGTATTCGATTTTTTAAGAAAAATGGTTCAAAACGTGTTCAGTTACTTTAATGTAAGAAGTTCTTTTCAACTGTTCTGTTTCATGCTTAGTTTAGTCACGAACAAATGCAAATATTTTCGCTCTACAGATTCTGTGCGAAACTTTCGATTCTGTTTTCAAGCTTTAACATTATATGTTTTGTCGCATGACGTCTTATTGCGCAATTTGTATAGCACGATAATCAAAACTTTTATGTTTACTTTTCAGTATAACAAATAATATACAAAATACGTTAACTAATCACAACTATAAACTCAAACTTTAATAAAAGAAAAATCGTACAAAGTGTGAGATTTCGTAATTTTTATACCGAGATTTTTTAAAATTTGAAAATGTCATATTATTAAAATGTTTAAAATTTAAAGCGTCATTGAAATAGTCAATTAAATACACGTGTCACAGTATACTGAATAACCTGTTTTGTATCTTTACGTCAGTGGTCTCAAACTCAGATTACAAGGTCTGTTCTGAAAGTAAAGGGGTTTTCACATCTAACAACGGTCTCTGCTAGATGGGACTTTTCTGAGAAACGAGATTCTGGTAGCATTGGTTTAAACGGGAGAATTCAGAGGAAAAACAGCTCCGCTGGAAGCGAAGTCCCGCCTAGCAACGGAAACCATGTCCCGACTACGCGGGAAATTTTGAAACATCACCTGAAATGTACAGTCAGCAGCTCTGTCCCGGTAGAGATCAACGAATCAGATGAAAGTTCTGCTTCTGAAGGATCACGCGATCCCAATCTGAGTGATAATCGATTACTTTTTGACGTTTAGGTCTTTGTAGTAAGTGAAAATGATAACCTAACTACATGCGGGTTCTTAGAAATGTCCTTTTCGACGTCTACCCCCGCATAGCGAAAACATATGTGATATGCCCCATTTTCTTCTGCTGCGACGTTGCACAGCGCTGCCGCTTGCGGGAAAGGGTGGGTGGAGTCTTCGGAATACAGTGCGACCAGCGCCAGTCGGCTTCGAACTTCTGGAGAGTCACAGTGACTGTTTCAGTTAACCCTTGTGTGAGGGCTCGATCGAAAACAAGATGGAAAAAACTCTCGAGGGGCGATACGCAAAGTTTTGGTACTTTTCCGTTTCGCCGGCGGAAATCCTCGCCAAGCAGTCTTTATTGGCAACAACACACAGTAGACACATTAAAAAAATGTTATAAAATGTTAGTTCTAAGGAATTTTTATTTTGAAGGCATAAACATTTTAATATTGTTTAAAATTTTGTAAAAATTCATTAATTTAAGAATTTACTATGCTTTCATGGTACAACATACTGATTCGCCGTTTCATATCACGTCACCCCAAGTGATCTCATTTCAGGTAAATCCCTCAAAGGACATTTGGGGAACCTGGAGAACATCAAGGCGCCTACGATGACGTTACTAAAGAACATCCCTGTGACGGACTTCCAGGACGCATATAAAGCATGGAAATCACGTTAGAATAAGTGTGTTAAAGAAGGAGGCATATATTTAGAAGAATATTGAGTAATTGTACGAACCGGTTCAAAAACTTTCTTTAAATAAATGTGTGCATTACTTTCGGGGCAGACCTTGTATGTGCAGGATTTAGGGAAGGATAAATGAATGATCAGAAAATAGCTGATGGTTTTAAATTTAATTTTTTTTTATTTAAAAAAATAAAATTTTTGGAAAGTGAGAAATGAATAATAGAGACACCTGCTTCACGCAAGTTATTATTATAGCACATATCAGTTTCATTTTATATCTATATCAGCTTCACTTTTTTCTCAGACCATCTGCATAATACTCCAAGCTATTGTCTACGAAGTCTGTCTTATTGTCAGTTATATCTATCCTATAAATCATTCCTATCGTCTACGAAAATTACATTTATTTATTATATATTACATTATTATTATTATTATTATGCCTTTATTTAGAGCCTCTATTTGTTAACGTCATATTTTTACACTACGCAATAATGGAAATGCGACACCGTAGAGATCTTCTTACTTAATTTTGAAAATTGCAAGGAATACGCAGCTTAACTATATATGTAAATGACCTGAAATATAAGGTTGCCATGTAATTAATTAGCGATGTAAAAGTAAAGGAGAACATTATATGTCTCTTTTGCTTTTACCTGAAGAAAGATGAAACACCTGATTCTAAATTCATTCGGGAGAGAAATGCATCCTTGCCCCAAATTATGCCCTCCTTTTTATGAAACCCTTAAATATCATTCTCGTGCACATCTGTATTGACTACAACATTTCCTCTTTGCACAATTGTGTACCACGTTAAGCATCCCGCTATACATATTGTCTTCCTTTAGCTCGGCTGTGAAGTATATCATTGTTCGAAAGCGTGGGAAAAATCTTGGAAGGGATTATTTCAAAAGATAAGAACAACGACATGTGTCTCAGGTTTCTTGAGTGTACATTAAAAGAGGAAAAAGGAGGCACTCTGAGTCATACGAGGTACTCTGTGAGGTGCGATATGAGGTACTCCGTCATATGAGGACTGTGTGGCAATCAAAAACACATTTTTAGTTTTGTTTTCAGAAGATAATGTTAGTTAATGAGATACCGGACTGCGGATCTAGAAGTCAGTTTTGGCAATCTGGTATGTTTTCAGAAAGCGTGGCTTTATGCTTTCAAATAGCTGGTGTGATATGCCTGTCGTATCGCAGCAGAAGCATACCTATATGTGCTTACAGTGCCAAGGACTGGAAAAGAGGGAGAGAAAAGGGGAGCGTGATTTTTGCCAGGAATACTGCTGCATTATCAGGCCTATTAAACTGGTACGCAGGCTGCATTCGGGCCTTGATCTCGAGAAAATAAAAACAAATATATAGTTATAATATATTAAAGAAGAGGGGAATTCGACCAAATATCGAAACTTTACGTATATTCAGACGCATAACGTGTACCTATAACTTCAACCTCTATATATGTTTTTTTTTTTTTAATTTTTAGGTATATTCACCGTTTATCGCTCACCCTTTTTACACCTGAAAGATACATGAGCGTTGCTCTTATCATTTTTAAGTCATTCTTTCAAAGATTTTCCCTAGGCTTTCGAGTAATGTTATACTGAATTGAAAAGCTGTAAGGGAAATAATACGTGTGGGAAGGAATGCTTAACGGGTACATAATTGTGCAAAGAGGAAGGGTTTTATTCAATACAGGTGTGCACGAGAATGTTATTCTAGGGTTGCGACAAAAGGAGGACATTATTTGGTGCAAGGATGCACTTCTGACTCAAATGAATTCAGTGTCAGATGTTTTCTCTTTCTGTAATCGTTTTGAAGCCCTCAATTTGAAGGGAACATTGAAGGCCTTAGTAAATCGCATTTGATTTAGTCGAAGAAGCAGTTGATCTAGTGCTTCTCTTAATAAGAAATATGGCTATGTCTTCATATACAATGTCATTCAATTTGCGAAAATAAATTGAAATCGTTAAGCAAGGATGTTTGTTGTTTGTGAAAGGGCCATACGCGAGAAGAAAAACGAAATTACAGTTATTAATATGCCAAAGAATAAATATGCTTTCCATACATTAGTAGCAAAATGTCCTATCCTACAACAAAGTGTTGCGAACTAAGTTCTAGAAATTCGCCAGAATTTATTAATTTTAACAAGAAGCAGCATTAGTTTATTTGCCTTAAAATGGTTTAACATGAATCAAAAGTGTGAAAACTGAAAACTCTAAATCAACTTTGAACTGGCGTAATCGATTTATGACAAGAAATAATTTCTATTTACGAGAAAAATAAAAATTTTGCAAAGTGGTTCGAAAATTTGGTCAACAAATTTATAAGTTTCTTGAAGTATGTCCTACGAAGCCCCCCCCAGAAAAAATCTTGGAAGTATGGATGAAACTACAGTATTGTTTGATATGATAGAAAATAAAATAATTTATCTGAAATTAACAAACACGGCTCCCATAAAAATAACAGGTCACAAAATATCTCACCTTTCTGTAGTGCTTTCCTGCTTAGCAGTTGTCACACAATAATGCTTCTTTTATAAAGAATTTACCAAATAGTGTTTTTATTCATGTTCACTAGAAAGGCTGGATGGACAAAAACGGTGTGAATCTGTGGATTAGAAATGTTTGGCAAAAGCGTCTTGCTGCCTTAAATCATCCAGAAAGTCTTTTAGTTTGGGACATGTTCATATCCCATCTAACGGATTCTACGATGAAATTGTGAAATTGTTGAAAGAATTATGGAATATAGATATGACATTTATTCTAGACAGATTAACGGCATTAGTTCAGCATTTAGATGCACGTATCAATAAATCATTCAAAGAAAATTCAAATCAATAGTGGAATTCCTGAATGTTCGAAGAAGAAAAAAAAAATATTTGCAAAAGGAAGCCAAATGTCAGTTTAGAAATCATGTGTGTGCGGGTATTAAAAGCATGTAATGAAATTAAACTCAACATAATTCAAACGTGATTAAATAAATGCACTATATCTACTAATCTACGAGGGCTATTTTTTTTCAACCTCCGATGGGCTATAAAGAAAAGACGGGTGAATATACAAAAAAAGATTTTATTTCCAAACGTAATGTACAATACAGGTTATTTCTCTACATAACCACCTTGACGATTGAGGCATTTGTCATATCTGTGAACAAGCTTTGCAATACTCTCTTCATAAAATGTCCCCGCCAATGATTGGAAGTGAGTTGTGACAGTTTCAGCTCCACATCATTTTGGAAGCGCTTCCCGCCAAGCCACTGCTTCAGTTCAAGGAACAGATGAAAGTCACTCGGCGCTTTGTCGGGACTATATGGTGGATGTTCGAAAATATCCCATTGAAATTGTTGAAGGAGCCGTTGGGTTACACGAGCGCTGTGAGGACAGGCATTGTCGTGGATTAGAACAATACCAGAAGTCAGCATGCCTCTTCGTTTGTTTTGAATAGCTCTCTGTAAGCGTCGCAAAGTTTCACAATATGAATCTGCATTAATTGTTTTTCCAGGCTGCATAAACTCCACAAGCAACACACCGTTTTGGTCCCAAAAAACAGTTGCCATAACCTTACGGTTGTTAATGGTTCGTTTGAATTTTGTGGGTCTCTTTGGAGAATTTGTGTGCATCCATAGTTGCGATTGTCGTTTCGTTTCGGGCGTGTCATATTGAACCCATGTCTCATCACCTGTCACAATGGATTTCAAAACCTCTTCTCCGTCAGTATTGTAACGGTCAAGAAACTCAAACGCTACAACCATTCGGCGAGTTTTGTGGTCGCCAGTTAACATCTGTGGGACCCAGCGAGCGCAAACTTTTCTGTAGCGTAACTGTTCAGTAGCGATAGAGTACAGGGGGATCTTAAAACTTCCGGAAATTTCATCGATAATTAACTTATGGTGAACCTTCGATTTTGCTTAACCGCTTGGTCAACTCCTTGAACAATGTTGTCTGTAGCGATAGACTTGCGTCCTTGACCCCCCCTTCATCATGCACATCAGTTCGGCCATCTTTAAAGTTTCGACACCATTCACGAACACCGCCATCACTCATAAAGCTGTTTCCATACGCTCGGCTCATTCTTCGATGAATTTCCGTTGCACTGTTCCCTTCTGCCTGCAAGAAAAAATAACAGCTAGCAATTCACACTTGGCAGGAGAATCAATAGCGACAGCCATGTTTACGTGACTGCAACTCAACAGAAAATGGCATGTTGAATACGCCAGTGACAGAGCGTGTGGAGGGGGTGATGCGCAGTCGCCTACTACGTACACCAATTACCTGCCGCATACCTGGCCACCATACTGTGCGATCGGAGGTTGAAAAAAAAACCTACGTAGATGGAACGGAAAAATATTATTTATTTGTGGTCAGAGTAACAATGTTGGTAAAGATGAAACAGATTTCGAAGATGTGCGTGAAGATATAACGGAAGACAAATAAGACGAATCTCTCACGTTATCCAATAATAAAATTTTTTTAAGTTTATAAGACATAAGGTATTTCTCCCCCACCTTCTTAGCTTGCCTTCGTGGTGTAATAGTCAGCATGCTCGGCGCGTATTTGAAAGGTCCGTGTTTCGAGTACCGGCGAGAGCATTGCTAATTTTTCATCTCTCCTACATTTAAAAAATAACTTAATGACTTTACAATAGCATGCGAACTAAAAAAGGTGTTGGATGAAGGGGAAGAATGTAAGGTATTTCTCCCACCTTTTTAGCATGCCTTCGTGATGTAATTATGAGCAAGCTCCGAGCGTATTCGAGAGCTCCGTGGTTCGAGTCTCGGCAAGGGCATTGCTCATTTTTCATATCTCCTGCTTTCTAAAAATACCTAATGTCTCTACAAAGATATGTCATTTCTTGTAAACAAACAGCATTTAGGTACATGTACAAATATAATTTTTGTAAGGTCAAATTTTCATTATTTTGAAATATGTCATTTTTATATCCGGCTTACAACGCCTATCCGCAAATTTTGATCTTATGTTTTGAAAAAAAGGTCGGGTTATACTCCGGAATACACGGTACATATTATTTTATATTATACAAACGTCATTTATATAAATAATTTAAAATTCTAATGAATTGTTCAGATGTATAATGAAATGTATCTTTATTTGCATGTGCAAGCAATAACTTGAAATGGATCATTTTTAACATACCAGTTCCCAAAATATGCACTCAGAGTGCGGAGAAATTAGGAATCATAAAGCTATTTATTGAAATTATTGCAAAAATAGTAAAATAGTAGTTTTTAGTAATTGGAATTTAGTCTCTACCACATTCGACCTAAGTCATATTAGTTGTTATTATTAGTAGTATTATTATTAATATTAATCTTTTTATAAGATCCAAGTCTAAGTTAGGTTAAATTACAAAATAATTGCAAAATTTCTAATCTAGACGCACGTTTCCATTTTATTTCATTATAGTTATTGAATGAGATCGCTTGCAAAAGATGAACTAATTAATAATTAAGGTATTAATCAAATTTTAATAAAAGTATATTTCATATTCAAAATATTTCCATTGAATATTATATAAAAGCATTCTTTAATTAAGCTGAAAACAACAAAAGAAACTTATGCATTTAATTAAATGCTAAGAATAAAGCTTAGTAAAGAATATTTACTTTACTAAAATGTTTATATTACTGCATAAGATGAAATTAATATTTGCATAAAAAATATTTGTTTTAAAGTTATTGCTATGCAAAATTTTATTACGATTCATAAGCAATATTTTTCTAAATAACTTGTTTGACTAGCAGTCTGGTGAAATTTGAGAAAAAGGAAACGTTTCAATTAAGGATTATTTTCCCCACTAAGTTCTTAATAGTCGCCATTATTAAATATTTGATAACATTTGATATTAAACGCTTTCACTTTAATCCGTAAGAAAATGAAATATTAATAATTGTATTTAGGTTACACGGCCGTTTAACGCGGATAATGATTAGCCATGCTGACTTCTGTATCGAATTCTGGAGAAGGCATGGATGTTTTAAATGTATATTGTATGTGCGGCGTGTGAAAACTCTAAATAGTCGGTCAGCCGAAAGTCCTCTCGAGAGGTTGATGGTAGGGGAAACGGTAAGAGAAGCATCGGACCCGTTCCCCCGAGGTGCTGACCATACATTCTACAAAAAACGCTCATGGTTGCCACGTCTTCGTGCCATCAGAAACAAGGTTGCTCTACTTCCTAATTACATGAAAAGAACAACTTCTCTCACGTGGGACATTACCCCAGACTACTTGAAATTGTGGAATAAAGTCATAACAGAAAGATTTATACCTTACGCAGCTTCAGTCTGGGGGCAACATCTTACAACATCTATGAAGAAACAGCTGATAGGGATGCAAAGAACCCAGCTACTTTTAATATGTAGAGCTTATCGAACTTCACAAACTTCAGCTTTTCAAGTATTAGCGGAAATTCCCCCATTGGGTCTTATAGTGAAAAGGGCAGCAACAATCACAAGAATCACGAGGCTGCAATGTAACACAAAGCTTTAAAGCTTTGGGATGATATGTTTTTCAGCTCGGATTTTGAGCCGCATAGCCATGTCATACTGGGACATCCCGCACACATAGATCTGACAAAGAATATTTCTATGAACTATAAACCTGTCTCACACAACAAAACTGTAATATAGTATACGGGCGGCCCATGTACGGAATTACGAACCGGAAGTGCTTACTGTGCCGTACAAAACAATCAGCTACTAAGTACTGAGACTAGACGGCTGAATATCAATAACACGGTCTTTCAAGCTGAACTGACAGCACTGAAAGCAGCAATCAAACTAGCTACCAATCTGAGAAACGACAGTTCAGTGATATTTAGCGATTCAGCTTCCAGTCTTGCGGCAATACAAAACCAAAATAATAAAAGGGAGCTAGTGAACAGCATAAAACGCCTGCTAATAAACTGTCCACTGCACCAAAGACCTATGCTCTGCTGTGTGCCAGCACAAGTTGGCATTCAGGTTAATGAGCAGGCAGACGAACCAGCAAAGCAAACTGCGGAAAACATCTCACGGAATTCGGAAATATGCGACCGGCATATTTCCGAATTTCGTGAATACTACTGGTATCATACCTGAAATAGGAATACCCGATAAAACTACCAGTATCATATCTGAAAAAAATCGCATCAGCAAAACTCAAAACAGGCAAAACAGGGGTTGAGGCCACAACTGTATCTTGGATAACTGCAGTTGCGGTGAAGTGAGGGATCCAGATTATTTACTGTTTCACTGCAGTAATACTTCTCAATCACATTAAAAAAACCGAGTGAATATAACTGACACTTGTTTAAAAATTTATTAGGAAAAAAACCGCATTTAACAAACTTTCACAGACCATAAAATATTGTGCAGCAGAATATGACGGTTGGGACTAAACTCTTTCTACCTTTATTTTCTTGTTCAAACCTGTTACCTATATTTTTATCATAAATTCTGTTGTAGAATCCTGAAGGAGTATTGTTTTAGTGTATCTGTATAATATATTTCATTAGTGTTTATAATACTGCCATTGTGATAACTGAATAGTATCACTATATTTTTGACTTACTAATTTTCATCCGCCTAAGCAAAACACATCTAGTGTTTTTAATCTAATACATTTAGTTGATCAGTCCAATCATTTTATATTTTGTTTGATTCCCTAGTCTCCAGTATATTTATATATATACTAGAAAGCCCGGCGTTCATACGAAATGACCGCTGTTCTAGATGTTATAAATTGTAGTTAAAATGATTTGTGCAAAGGTGTCTGCTAATTCAAACTGAATTACCCAGGGCAGACGGCGAGGACGCTCCTTTGCTTACTGCCCCACGGGGTTTCCCCCATCTACTTGCTTAAAGTAGAATGCAATGAAGGAAACTACCATAAAGGTGACCGTGTCCAAATGCAGACTCAAGTAAAAAATGCCAATACGCTTAAGCGTTTGACCCCCAGACTTATGGATGGTCATAGCAAAGGCAAGTTTTACAGGAAATTGTCTACGTCTCAATTGAAATGGCAACCCTGTGCCGTGGCAACTTCACTCCATTGGCTAGTACAGTTACGCAAGCAACCAGCAAACCATCGGCGACAGACACAATAAATATATTTATTTGTTTCATTTTATTTTTTAATGGTTGCCGGTTTTCGCCGGTTGCATATTTCCGAATTCTATTATATATAGATGTTAAACTTATTTATTAAATGTTAGATGCACGTGCTCTTGTATTTTTTTTTTCCGGCTTAGCTTTCTCATAATATTCGTCACGCGCTGCATGCACTGCATGGGGAATAAAATAATTTACAGTTACGCAAGCAACCAATAAACTATCGGCGACAAACACTTACGCCGCTTATATATAGAGAGAAAGAGATTAATATTACGTCCAATTTGTAACTAGCAATTATTTTGTACTATATTTAATTATTCGATTCATAGCTTCCTTGTGCACATTGTGTCTATATAATCAGTAGCATATCTGTTGTATTTTAAGGAATATATAGTAATATCGTTTTCTTATTTTTTTAAATTATTATTATTTTTTTTTAAGGAAAGTTGAAAGTAGATGTTATCCTCTACAAGTTCTATAGGCAAATGTATTATTCTCTGTTCAACAATTATGTAACTTCTAATGTTATGTAGCTATAGTTTTATAATAAGTGCATTTACTTTGGTCATTTGAATATGCTGATTTTAATCGATTCTGTTGTAATTATTAGTTTATATAAAAGTGTGAATCTGGCATTTAAT